CTTCTCTTTAAATACCTCCTATACTTCTTTTTGAATAGCTCCCATGTTTCTCTTTGAAAAACTCTGATACCTCTCTTTAAATACCTTTTAATACTTCTCTTGCGAATGTGATTCTTTGTGTTTGTCCTGAACCTCTTCCCCATGGTTTAAGTGTGCAGTGTGGTTTTTAACTTACAGTATGTCAATAATAATCATAGAACCTAGAAATGGTTGGGCAGTGTCACTGAGCCAATATCCTTGTTAATGATGTTATCCCTAATAGTGAAAGATGGGTATCTAAAATGATTGAGTATTGATATTGTTTTTTGCCTTGGTTTGAACACTTTTATGCAGAAGCAAAAACAGTCCTAGGTAAGAGTCTCTATTATATAATCTGCTGGCTTTGTTTGCAGGAATGCCTGTAGCAGGAAGTTGCTGTTGTAGAAATCAGAGTGATTTGTTTATTTATTTACTTTTCTCCTGGGGAGACATTTCTGTTAGGCAGGTTGCCTTGCCATGGTATAGTGTGAGCTGGATGCATGAGCGATTGCTATAAATCTTGCACAGTGACTTTCCTATCTGAATGGAAATAGTCTCTGAAAAGTCAGTGACATTCTCTGCACATTTTGATGTCTGCATGATGCGAACTGTTAAAAAACCCTAAAAGCTCAAGCTGTCAACTTTGTGAAGCAAGGCCTTCTGTATAGCAGCTGTAAGAGTGCGTATCCCAAGTCAATTTTCTTCCTGGTAAATGACACTTGTAAATGAGAACAAAGGCTGCATCCGAATCTGTTGTCTAGAGCTAGGTCTTGGTCTTCGCTCCATTGAAAACGTGGCGAGACCCGCAGACGGTAGACTTAGCCGTAGCTCTGGAAGCCCGTTTCGGACGCGGCCAAAGACTCGTGTAAACTCCTGCCACTTAATCTCCCATGCTGACCAACAAGCAGTGCAGTCCCCTAACACAAAACAGGAATAAGAAGTGTAGACACATGCTGCTGTGGCACACGTGTAGATCACCAAACAAACCACAACAGCAGCAAGATATCAGAAACGGAACCTGTGACCAGGTCCTATTTGCTAGACTCCGTTTGTCAACTCGAGCAGATCTTTATATGAATTGATGAAGATTTAAGTTTTGTTGTAAGGCAGATGAAACTGCAGAAACTTATCCGGAATCGGTGCTCATTTGCATGTAAAAGAGTTGCAATGTGACTGTACTCCATAGGTCAGTCCGATGTCTAAATGTCTACGCAGTACCTTGACTAAGAAAAGTAGTCTGAGGAAATTGTTAGGATGCAAATTTGTGGGATGCCAGAATGCCTGTGCATGTGTCTCGTGTGAAATGTACATCATTCGCAGTCAAGTCTGTTCCTTGTGCCGTCGTTGAGATTTCTTACGTGGTGGGAATTCCCTGTGATCAGCTGTGCTGAAACCCAGCTGCTCGTTTTGCAGGTAAGGGCGGCGTGTTCCGCTCTATCCACGGTGTGGGTGCCGTCATGACCAACATGGTGCTGGGCAGCGGCCTGCCCCACTCCCCGCTGACCCATCACTCCCGGGGCCCCAGCGGTGCCTCCTCTGCTGGGGGGCTTGACAACCACAACAAGGAGGACGAACTCGTCATGGAGACCAAACTCAAGATCATTCAGATTTTACAGGTATTGGGGGAGGGGAAAGTACCTTTGGTACCATTTAAATGTCCATGAAACTTAGACTGTGTTTAGGTCATTTGATTGTTCCATAGCAGACAATGGGAAGTTGCTCTAAGCCCAAGGATCGCAACACAGGCAATTGTATCCATGAAACGGAAGTCTGGAGCCGAAGACGAAGCCAACTTGAAGGTCGGGGAAAACCTTCCAGGCTGTATGGACTGATGGACAAAGTGGGAGTGAAAATTTATCAGACAGTTTCAGGCAGACTTTTATTAACAGCACAGCCCGATCTATTTGAAATATTTTTTTATCAGATTTTTGGTATTTGAGAGTAGTGCCTATTCCTTGTGCACATAAGTTCAAAGTGGAGGCCGAAGCACTGTGCTGTGTAACCACAATTTGTATCAAAAGTTTCTTTAGGGTCAGTACACAGCTTATCCATGGTAACTACGTGTTCAGCTTGAGGTAAGTAGTCTAAATGGCTAAAAAAAAAGAAAGTGGCTGTGAATTTCCTTGGAAGAAATCTCATTCAAATTTTGTCTCTGTCTCCAGTTCATCCTTAACGTGCGTCTGGACTACCGCATCTCTTGCCTCCTCTCCATCTTCAAGAGAGACTTTGACGAGAGCAAGGATGCCAACGACGAGGTCCACCACTCCCGGCAGAGCGTGGACGGCAGCGACAGCCCCGGCATCAACCTAGAAGCTATAGGTATGGATTTTTACCCATGTTTCAAGCGACGACCATCAGCAGCAACTGGTCGATATTTCCCAAGTAACCTATATGCATAAGCTGTACTCTGATATAAGACAAAACTGACCAATAATTAACACATGATTGATTTAACTCAACCTTGTCTGTTAGGACAGCTCCTTGTGTCTCTGTGAATCAGGTTAGCATGAATTGTAACTTAACCTGTGGTGTTGCTATCCATTTGTGTAGTGTGAATCCCAGGCCGTTTTCCAATACCCAACTTCGTCTCCATTTGGGCTTCGTTCCCACAACCAATCCCCGATTGTGGTGCTGAAGCGTTTAAATTAAATTGGATTACTGAAATTTTTGTCTCTCTTGCATCTTATTTGATGTTCTGTGGCGCTATTAGACTGATTACTGCACTTACAGCTTCAAAGTCAGCTAGTAAAAAAACAGTTGAAGCCTTAGACGGAGCTGAAGTTGAGTATTGGAAAACGACCCCAGTGTTAGTAGTATTGAAACCAAGCTGGTTGCCTGCCAGTGCTGAGACACAAACAAATGCACATTTTGGGGCTAATTCAAATTTTCCAACAGCCTAAATGGAGAACAAGGATGACCCAAACACCATTTTGATTTATGGTTAAGACATGTAAGCTCTCGAATATAAATAAGATGTCCAGTTCCTCTTCCATTAGGTGAGTACCAGTCGCAGAATACAGATTGCATGCCAGTTTGGCTGGTAACCTGTTCTTGGCCATTAAATAACCAGTACCTTCAGTGCTTTTAAAATTTTTGAGCAAAGCATCTGTAAGATGAGACCGTTGACCATGCTAGCACTGTCAGTGGTCATTTGCAGTGGCCCCCCACCAGTGGTGGAGAGCATTGTGATAACTGTTCCATGGAGCTACTGTTCTGGGGCAGTTGCTCCTTGTGTAAAACCCAGCACAGTGCTTTCCACCGTTAAAATGGGCCATTGGGAATGTCCAATGAAACATTGCTGGATTTGTCTATATGAGCCTGGCTTTTGTCTTAACCAGTGTCAGAGTAAAGGCATTGAACTTCAAGGCCAAGGCTTTGATCTCGAGCTGTAAAGCCAAGGCCTTAAAATCAAATCTTAAGGCCAAGGCTTAACCTTAAGGTGCCACATCACAGGTCTGAACTAGCTGGTCTTTTCTTCCCTTGGACAGGTGATCAGGCTGAGGGGATCTTTGAAGGTCACACGGAAGGTGTGGACCTTGACCTGGACTCCCAAGGCGGCAGGACCTTCCTACGCGTCCTCCTTCACCTAACCATGCACGACTACCCTCCCCTGGTGTCGGGGGCCTTACAGCTGCTCTTCCGTCACTTCAGCCAGAGACAGGAGGTGCTGCAGGCTTTCAAGCAGGTCAGTGCTGACACAAGTCGAGTGCATTGCTGGAGTTTTTTACCCTATTGCAAAATAGACTTGCATCTCAGTTACAAAATTACGCTAATCGGGCACTACCAAGGTGAGTCGATTTGACAATTCTTTGTAACGTATTATTCAATGCTTGTATCTTGCATCCTGGTTGTGCATTTATGACATGTTTTCTCCATCCCGTTTTTGTACTTACTATCCAATTTCTGTCCAGATTTGGTTTAACAGTGACCCAATTTACTTTAAGATCTCCACCCTTTGCAGTATGCTCCTCTGTACCTCTCTGCTCTAAACCTGATGTGAAGTCATGGAAGGAATATCATGATCGGTCCGTTTGGTGTTAACTTCCCCCAGTTCACTATAGTAAATTCACACAGGCTAGTTATTACAGCCCAACTAATCAACTATTTACAACAAGAGTTGTAAAGGAGTTTGATTAGTCACCGGGTTTTTAGCTTTGTTACACTTTGCTTCATTAATTGGCATTGTGTACTAACAGTGTCGGATTAGAATTTATTGAGTTCAACAAAGAGCTAAAACTTCGTTTAGCACGGTATCAACCAAGTAAGCACAGAGAACCAAACAGAGTCATAGTTTATTCAATAAGGGAGATATTCATCAAGTGTATGAGATTCTTAAATGAGATTTTGCAGAATTTTCCTGATATTCAGGATTTTTCAAACAACTGGGAAAAATGCAGAGATCTCCTTTAAGATGCCTTTTGCTGATAGAAGTTGATATAAAACACAAAAAGAGGTAGTTTAAGGGGTACCTTTAGGCAGACATTAATGTATTACCATAGACCCCATGCTGCTGTGGAGCTGTTAAAACCTTGAAAATGCTGGGAGTGATGCAGAGAGCCGCAGTGCCGAGTGATGCTTCTTCTGTTCCATTCCCCAGGTCCAGCTCTTGGTGACGTCCAACGATGTGGACAACTACAAGCAGATCAAGGCAGACCTGGATGCACTGAGACTCTTGGTGGAGAAGTCGGAGCTCTGGGTTTACAAGAGCAAGTTGGACCAGGAGAAGGAGAAGAGCAAGAGCAAAGGAAAAGCAGCAAAGAAGGTGAGGTCCCAACCTTAGGACAGCCGCTTTTTTGTGGGGGGGATTGTTGTTTATTCAGAAGAATTAGCAATCTTTTACTGCTGTAATGTAGGGCTTTCTATTTTTTGTTTTCAACCCTTAGATCCCTCAGTGCTGAAGGTGAAGGTTTGAAGAAAGTTTATCAGCTTGCTTTCATTAAAGTTGTAAGGAATTTTTCACTCTGCAAAGGGAAAGCGACCGTCTCATGAAAAGAAAAGGAGAGGAAATCATAACCCTAACTTTCGAAGTAGGGCCAGTGAGGTGTTTATCTTTGTAATGAAATCTGCACTGGCCAAATTAAAGTGACAATTTCCAAGCTTTGAATGCATATTAAAATGACATGGCTTCGTGAGTGCGCTTTTAAGGTCAGGGATGCCATGACAATAAAAGTCAGAATCCCTCTTTGCCTCTCTGGAGTAAATTCCCCTCAGTGGGCTGAATGTAATCGGCCCTGAGGTTTGAATGTTAGGGCCTGTTTGTTTCACATGGATGTGGATCTCAATCAGTGATCCCAACACTGGTTGGCTCTGTCCATTAGATGGGTTAGACGATGCCGCTTCTCTTCGCTGTGTAGGTCTGTCACATTCAGCTGCGTGCTTAGAGAAAAGGGTACCCGTTAAGCCAGGGTGCTTAAGTGCATTGTTCTATGCATATTAGAATGTTGAGCAAAAGCCATTGGTGAACTGCATACAAGAATACCATGCAGTGGTTTCCTGCACTGGCTGTCAGAAACTCTCATATGCAAGCCGAAGGCCAGATTATCTGGCAGGCACTGAGCCCACAAAGCAACAAAAATTGGGTTACACAAAATTTGGGGCCAACAGAAAATTTGGGGCCCTGCTAAAATGCCACATTGTGCTACAGAACTCCCACAACCACACAAACCAACAACTACACGCACAAGAGATAAGTTTGATGATTTTGTGAATTTTCCATCTTGGGTACATGGGAACAATGTACAGTTATGCTGGTCAGTTTCACATCAGCATGGAATGCATGGCTCCAGTCGTTACCAACACTTTTGAAATTGGTGCTGGTGCCTCAGGCTGAGTAGGGCCCACAGAACAGTGGTGTCTGGGGCCTACAGAGTACTTCATCCAGGCCTGGTCCAGTGCAATTTAATTGGTCTGTATCATTACTGACTTGGAAACTTCACATTGCTTTAGTTCTCTGAGCTTGTAAAGAGCTAAACAGCACTCCGGCCATTCTGGTCAGAACATGCTGGCCCCATGCCCACTTCAGCTAATGCATAATTCATGTTTCTCCCTCCGCATACTCTCTCTGGTATCAGTTATCTTTGTACCCCTTGACTCTTGGCACGTCGTCGTACAGTAGCATGATGCTTGCTGCTGGCGCCCATGAGGTTGGTTACCAACTTTCGCTCAGTTTCCTTGGGTCACATTGTCCATTGCGGACATGGTTTTGGTTCAGGTGGTGGAATCTCTGTGAGCAGTTTCCAAGTGTTAATTTTTCTCTGTTTTTAATGTACTGTAGGATTCCGTTTTGGAGAGCAAATTTACATTTTCAATGAGCTCAAGTTGTTTGTCGTTGTTTTGGTAAAGGAATTGTATTTTGGGTCTTTGAACTAAACGTTTTGTTGTCTTCTCCTGTACCTTAGAGCTTTGGACAAGGATATCGTTGACTTGGGCTAAAAGTCAACTTGAGTTTCTTTTTGGTTGCAATATTCAGCATGTTTTCGGGGACATGATCTGAGTCTGGGTTGAGATCTTTCTCTTTAGGCTGATATAAAATGGACTAATATTGGAAGCTTGAAGTGAAATGTACCATGTTAGATATATTTTTAGTGGAAAAGTTGTGAAACCTCAACATATGTGACCCTGACCCAACCTAACAAAATGAGTCAGGAAGTTGCCAGAGCCACTTCCAAGGTCAAGGCTTTTAAAAGAATCTAATACGATATAAATCAAGAGGAACCTTCAGCATTATTTATTCACATAATGCCCATTCTCATCAGTATGCCAAACTGAATGACAAATCAAATGGAAGAACAAACCAAAGTTAGTGAAAAATGGTCTTTGACTGATTTTGTAGGATTCAGTCACAGGTGTAAACAGTGTAATAATTTCGAATGATAGGTTTTGATTGTGAGAACAAGAATTTCTTTGGAAATAAACTGTTGACAACACTTTGTTTTTTTTCCCTTCAGTTTCCTGGATCGCTGGGTGCCAGTGAAGGATCATCTATCGACTTGGATTTGGGACCTCCTCTGGATGCAACCAGCACTAGCAACTATAAGAGCATACAGCTGGTCAGTATGGGCTGGGTTCAGGGGTTTTTACTTGTTCGCAGTGAGGTTGGTTTGAAGTAGGCCTACGAATCAATAACGTCAATCTTAAAACTTCTACATGTGCTCTGTGCTGTGGGATTCAGGAGAGGATGATGGAACTCCATGGTAAAGCTTATTTGTGAACAAAGCTTGACGTCGTCAGTTCATTGGCCTTTTGGATCGGTTGGGTTAGTTGTAGTTGTGTATATTGCAATTATGGCTGGATAAGCCGGGTTTGTTACATTTGGTTTTGTTAAAGTGGGTTGGATGTCATGAAGTTGTAATAATAGTTCAATGTCTTAAGCTTGTTTGAAGGCAGAGACTGAATGGGTTGTTGTTTACAGTTGATTGTATGAACTGGGTTGGAATTGTGCGGTTGGGGAGAAGAGATGTTTCATGGGTTGCGTTTAGCTGCTCACTGCTGATATCAGCCTCGATGAGATTGGCAAAAAATCAGGTTACCAGCCAAAATGTTATGCAAAGCATATGGCTCACAACCGGTTCTCGGCTACTTGTTTTTTTGTGAAGCACATTTTTCTTCTCAGGAATATCATGACATTGGGTCCTCTGAGGCCGGGCAGAGTTACAATCAAGAAATCCTTGTTGATTGCATTTCAGATCTTGATCCGCCTCAGTAAGCTGTGCGTGTCAGAGGGAAGCGGCACTCGCAAGAACCGCAAGCATGAGCAACGATTGCTCAGGAACATGGGTGCTCACACGGTGGTCCTCGAACTGTTACAAATCCCATATGAGAAGGTCAGGACAGTTTTTCCCAAATAAAGTTTATACATGCCCTGTTCGTCTGTATGTGGATTATTTGCAGTGTTGTGGTTCAGTCCATCACAAGTCCTCTCAAGTCTCCTGAAGTCCATCACAAGTCCTCTCAAGTCTCCTGAAGTCCATCAATGGTCCTTCACAAGTCCCCTGAGGTCCATCACAAGTCCTCTCAAGTCTCCTGAAGTCCATCAATGGTCCTTCACAAGTCTCCTGAAGTCCATCACAAGTCTTCTCAAGTCCCCTAAAGTCCATCACAAGTCTTCTCAAGTCTCCTGAAGTCCATCACAAGTCCTCCCAAGTCTCCTGAAGTCCATCAATGGTCCTTCACAAGTCTCCTGAAGTCCATCACAAGTCCCCTGAAGTCCATCACAAGTCTTCTCAAGTCTCCTGAAGTCCATCACAAGTCCTCCCAAGTCCCCTAAAGTCCATCACAAGTCCTCCCAAGTCCCCTGAAGTCCATCACAAGTCCTCCCAAGTCTCCTGAAGTCCATCACAAGTCCTCCCAAGTCTCCTACAGTCCATCAGTGGTCCTTCACAAGTCTCCTGAAGTCCATCAACGGTCCTTCACAAGTCTAATCTGACGCCAAGTCATGAGCTGAACTGTGACAAAAGCATTCCTTCGTCATTGTTCACCCTGCTGTTGCTGGTATCGTGGAAGGACTTTAGATTGACTATAACACTAATTATTGATGATGAATACTATGTATTAGTATAGGGTTTGTCATTTTTGTCGTGCAATAATGGCATAATTGAAATTAAATGAAAATAATTGAAATCTACTTTACCTTTTCACATAAGAAATTTGTTTTTTAGTTACTTTTAAAGATTCAAACAGAAATCATAGGTCCGTTGTATTGCGGTAGTTGATTAATTCTCGAACTGTTTTGTTGTGTGTTCCACAGAATGCTGACACCCGTATGAATGAGCTGATGCGATTGGCACATGAGTTTCTCCAGAACTTCTGCTGGGGAAATCCGTCCAATCAGGTGTTACTTCACAAACACATTGACCTCTTCCTGACACCCGGAGTAAGTACACCAGTTGAAAAAGAACCAAACAAGGATTTGACTGCAGTCTTTCCTTACGAATATAGAACTTAAATATTTTGTCAATTCGTACACACCGTAGCTCAGTGTGTCCTACCACCTATGCTTAATTTAAGCATACTTCATGGCGTCACCGAGCACGAGAAAATACTTACATGAGCTGCTTTCTTTTCATGTGTGGCATGCCCAGTACATTTGAGTAGCAGTTTATCAGTTGCCTGGCAACAGTTTACTGTCAAGTGTTTTTGATCAATGCACCGATCCCTGGATCACAGCTGGTATACAGCAAAAATAGGCACTGACACAGTGGTGCATGGGCCAGTAAAAATTCAGCTCTCTATCGTTAATATGTGTGAGGTGTGATAATGAAAGATTTCCCATCTGGGCAAGCTATACTAACTCAGCATTTCTATTCGAAGCACTGGATGTATCTATGTTACACTGAGATGTAATCATATCTGCAGTTTTTGTTTTTAAATGTTGCCATCGTCCCGTTCTTATCTCTAACCACAGCTGTTGGAGGCCCAGACCATGTGCTCCATCTACATGGATAACGTCCAGCTGTGCAGCGAAGTCACAGAGCAGGTGGTCCAGCACTTTGTCCACTGCATCGCCACCCACGGTCGGCATGTTCAGTACCTGAAGTTCCTGCAGACCATCGTTAAGGCAGATGGCCAGTACATCCGCAAGACCCAGGACATGGTCATGGCGGAGGTGGGTCCAGGGTTCGCCACGAAAAAAGAGGGTTTTCAGATCTCAGCCCTGTTTCTATCTTTGCCCAACTCCTGAGCAGTACAATCGGTTTCACAAATTTACCATCTGAACCAATTTCCTGGATCTTTCCTGTCCCCAGCTGGTCAATGCGGGTGAAGACGTCCTGCTCTTCTACAACGACAAGGCCTCCTTCCAGATGTTTGTCAACATGATGCAGGACGAGCGGGAGCGCGTGGACCCCTCCAGCCCCTCCCAGTACCACATCAACCTGGTCTACCTGCTAGCCTGCTGCACTGAGGGCAAGAACGTCTACACCGAGATCAAGTGCCACTCGCTGCTGCCGCTGGACGACATTGTCCGAGTGGCCACGCACCCGGACTGCTTACCAGAGGTTGGTAGCTCCTACAACTCCCGTGCAGAATTTGTTTGACCTCTGCATCTTTACACCAAAGGGTTGACTGGGGGCCATATGGTTAGGCTTCGGAGCAGAAGGTCAGGGGTTCGAATCCAGCTGCTTGGCATAGTTGTGTCCGATTCTGTCTGTTGCCAAGGAAACAAGAAATGGGCCAGATTGGCTCAATACAGACTTTGCTGTCCTTATGCGTTATGTTCCTTCTCAAAATGAGTGCATATATTCAACCATGCATGCTTGTATTTTTTAAGAAAGCATTTAATCCTAACCATCCCATATCACTTGGAGTTGCCCGGTAGACTTTGATGATTCTACAGAAGGTGGACAAGTTAGGGCCTAGTCGCAGATCCTATAATATAAGGCTCTAAGAATGTGCCGTTGGGCTCGTGTATAACTGGTAAATTGTTGGCGTGTTCAAGAATGGTTCTCACACTGGATCTCAGTCGGGTTTTTGAGACCAGGAAGGAAATGTAATTGTCTCATGATGTCAGTCATTCTTTATGGGGAGTTACGTTTGAACTGTTTCTGGCTGGTCTTCTCAGGTGAAGAATGCCTACATCAACTTTCTGAATCACTGCTATGTGGACACTGAAGTTGAGATGAAAGAGATCTACACCAGCAACCACGTCTGGAACCTATTTGAAAACTTCTTGGTGGACATGGACACGGTAATTGAGCCATTTATGCGAAAGATGAATATAGAAGATTCCGGAGTTTTCAAATGTTGTGGGCAAGTGAAAATTTATTTGAAAGTTAAAAAGCTTTCTTTTTTCCCCCGAGGAACTTTTGCCCAGTCGTTGTTTGTTTTGTTGGTTCAGAATGTCTGAATCCGAATCCTTTTCCATTTTCTCATTTTGGACCTGCCTGTTTCGATGTTCAAGGTTTCCGCACAAGCAATCAAATCAACGCATAGTGGTTGTACTTGAGTACAACACAGCAGACGGAGAGAGAATTATTGATCAGATGACGAGCTTTGATGCTGCAGTTGTGTGCTAAAAACACACTCTATCTAAGCAAAGGAAATGACTTTTCATCCGTGAGCATACTGCTCTTTGTCACATCCTTAGGTGTGCAATGCCACCCACGACCGCAAACATGCCGAACACATGCTGGAGAAGTACGTGACTGAGACCGTCATGAACATCATCACCATGTTCTTCAGTTCACCATTCGCCGAGCAGAGCACGACAGTACAGGTACTTTTGTTACCGCAATATTTCTCACGATATTATAACCTCCCACTTTCTCTTGTGTGCACAACCGGCTGCAATGGATATGCGGGTATTGTCAACTTTTCTGTCCCGAGACCAAGCTACTCCTGATGTAAGCGTATTTTCAGAATGGATAAGCTGAGGTCAGTTTATATTCATAAGTGCTTCATGACGGTTTCCCATTCCTATTGGTTGAGAGCCTGTCATGTGGGTAGTTTATGACAGATAATATAGATACCAATGAATTTTAAACACTGCCCCCACTTCATATAAAATTTATGCTCGTATCATATGTAGTCGAGCCCTGACACATGACAAGTGACCTCATTACCTAGGGATGTGCATGACAACCAATGAGTGTGTATTTCATGGTCAGAATTTCACACCAGCTGTGCTTCGTTGTGCATCGCATTGTGTCGTGCGCTGTGCGCACCAATTTCCAAACATGGAGATTTGTGTACTGTGCATACAAGGCAGTTACCATAGATAAAACAAGAGGGGTGTTTCTATTCACAAAACATTGAGTGAAATTTAAAGAGCATCTCTAAGGAAAACATGTTTTCTCTGATTTTATCTGTTCAAATAAATATGGAAGCATCCAAATCGAATGCAGTGTCATTTGTCATCAGAGCTCAACTACAACAAACTTAAAAGGTTAAGATTCAGATTCTGAATGTTGATTGCACCATTCTGAGAAAACAGAGACAACGAGGAGAACCCTTGCTTTCTGTTCATTGTGGATAGACCCTTGTGCGTGCCAGATAATGCATGTATCCATTATATGGTTGAGCTCTGAAGACAAATGACACTGCATTCAGTTTGGAAGCTTCTGTATTTATTTGAACAGAAAAAATCAGAGAAAACATGGTTTCTTTAGAGGTGCCCTTTAACAAAATGTCAGAAAAATGTGAATTTTCAACTTACTTTACTTCTTCACCAAACAGTTATTTATCAATTGGGAGAATGAGACAGTGGTGGGTTGTTTTTAAGTCAGTACATTTGAAACCAGTCCGGGGCAAGGAGCAGTTTTAAAATGGGGACAGTAATGGGCTGGTCTACTATCGTTCCCAGCCCTCCAATCTTGTTTCAAGCGTACTTGTTTGAAACCACCTTGCTGCACTTTTATTGCCTTTATACTGTCCAAACTGCTTGTTTTCTGCAGACCCGACAGCCCGTCTTTGTTAGGCTACTCCAGGGGGCCTTCAGGGTGTCGCAGTGCGAGTGGCTGAGGGGACAGCAGTATCACGTGCAGAACTGTATCAAAACACTCACCGATATAGGTAGGCTGGAATACCTTGGTGAACACTGGCATAAATGCAGGGGACCACATGATGGATCTATTTCTTATTGATTTAATGCCCCCCCGGCAGGTTCGTATTTAGTCGTGTCTTCTCCATAGATTTGAGTACAGTTTTTTTCCTGTGTTTATTCTGGAACAAATAATATGGAAAAATGACTAGGTGCTCACATATTAATTATAAAGAGAAGCAAAGAAATTGACTGAAGATCGGTTTGAACCTGCGGCCTCCTACTTCTAGTCTGTTTCTTGAGAATTCCTGTGTTTATTCTGCTGGAAGACTGAACCCTTCAGTGTATTTAATCAGACTTGTCGAAGACTCACAACCGTAATAACTATTGTTAAAGCTTTGCCTGTCTGAGTGGTATATAGAGAGGTAAGTTTGTGGGTACGCCATGGAAGTGATCTCAGTTGGGAAGAAGTATGAGAGAAGGTCCTTGACATGATGAACTGTGCGCACTGTTCATCTTCAGGAAAAATCAGTGCTAATTTTTTGGTGTAAATATTGTGACAATGTCCGATGGATCTGTGGCAGCCAAGAACCGTGGCATCGCCATACCGGTGGATCTGGACAGCCAGGTCAACACACTCTTCTCCAAGTCGCAGATGGTGATGAAGCACACGCGACACTGGCTGAGCCACAATGCCAACCGGCGGCGGGACTCCATGGTGGCCATCTCCAGGGACTACCGCAGCATCATCGAGGGACTGCAGGTGAGGCTGTGGGCCATGTCGAACAGGTTGGGTAACCATAGGTGTCCAGAGGTGGGGGCGATATGGGGGGGGGGTTACTTACTGAAAAATGGAGAGAAATGAAACAGGGAGGAAGGGATATGAAAACCACCGATTTGCTTCAGAATACCTTGGAACTGACTCCCTTCCACCATTATTGCTTCAACAGTTTGCTGCTGCTAAGTGCTTCTCCCTCCCCCCCCCTGAGAAGTCTTGACCCTCCTCCTTGATACATTCTTGGCAGTGGATATGTATCTGAAACCATGCTTTACCCAACCATTCTAAGACATTAATAGTAATATGGCATATTTCTGCCGTGCCTTTCAGTACCGATGGACTGGCATTGCGTCCTGCTTCCATGTTCATCCCTGAATCTGAAGTGCATTCCTGTCTGCTTTATCCCTCCCCCCCCCCAGGATATTGTGTCTCTCCTCGAGGATCAGCTGAGACCCTTGGTCCAAGCGGAGCTGTCGGTCCTGGTGGATGTCCTGCACAGACCCGAGCTGCTCTTCCCTCCGGGCACTGAGGCCAGGCAGAAGTGTGAGAGCGGAGGCTTCATCAGCAAGTAAGTGGGATGTTAACTCTAACGAGGAACCCGGGCAAAGTTCCGTTGGAAGGAGACCACCGAAAGGAGGGCTGGATTGCTCAGTTGATTCAGCTCTGGTGGGATGTTCCAAAAGATGCAGGCCCAGATCCCACCCCTGTCAATTCTATCATGAAACCAGATTTAATCTTCTGAGCAGAATCCCTACAACAAAAAATTAGGTTCCTAAGTGAAATTGAATCTAAAATAGTAGTTATGATTGCTGGATATGTAAGAAGAACCAGGTTTCAAGTTCTAAATCAGACAAGTTTTATTCTTATGCTACTTTTGAATAAAAGCTAAAATGTCTTAAAAGTCCTCCTTGGTCAACTTGATATTTCATGTGATAATTTGTTTCCTTTAGAATTGAAAGAAACTGAATTGAGTATAGTCCACTTCACATCGTTTTTTTCTTTTTCGTCAGTTGCCAAACCAAGGTGTCCAACGGATCAAGATTACTTTAAGATTGCAGACTTCTTTTCCAATTCACAATTTCCTACGTTCCTCCTTCCTCAGATTGATCAAGCACACTGAGAAACTCCTAGAGGAGAAAGAAGAGAAACTCTGCATCAAAGTGCTGCAGACGCTCAAGGAGATGATGACTGTGGATATCGATTACTCAGAGAAGGTAAGCTATGGCAAAATGCACCCCCAAATCTTGAATTTCAGTTGTATGCCAATTTAAAAATGATACAGCATTTACAGAGTATAACTTTCCTCAGTTCTTCAGTGAGTTTTTTGAGGGTGTACTATGAAATAAACATGAACACAGCAGCGTTGTTTTTTCGAACAGTCAGCGTGTTTGTCTTTTGAACAAAGGGTCTAAAATAGGTTTTTAATAGATTACACTTTTGATGCCATAGTAATCTGAATGCCTGCCAAACTGCAGTACATTCATGGATCAACAGTTGTTATTGTCATTTGGTGTTGAATGATGGGTTTATTCAAGGTTTTCATACTTTCACTGCACCCTTTCAGGCTCTTGAAAATTGCATCGTCTGCACTGGTGAAATATGAAATCTCCACTTCCTACATTGTTGTAGTTGGGTCCATCACAAGTCCTTGCAAAGTCCTTCACCAGACCTTCACAAGTCATTCAGTCGTAAGCCCAGTCATAAGCTGTTCAGATGGACTGTTACAAAAGCATTTGTTTGTGATTGCACACATCATTCCTTGTGACTGGTCCTTATGAAAGGACTTGTGACCAGACATGTGGCTGGAGCTGTGGAGGGACTTGTGAAAGGAATCGTGATTGGCTCGACGACATCACTGATACGATATGTTGGAATTTTCATTCTTTTGTCTAAAAAAAAAACCTTACCATTCTTTTGTCTGAATTTCCTGAAAATTATGAATTGTTTATTCTGCATCACATGTAGCTAAATTGCTGCATTGCTTTTCCAGCTCTCTGGTTTTTCTGCCTTTGCAACATTGTGAATTGGCAGCTACTTCTGTTCACAGTGGACTGTAATCTTGCTTTCCAAGAAATGATGTCTCATTTCCACCATTCTGAATGGTGTGCTGCTGTGCCAGTGGTATGGCTTCAACATTACCCAGGAGTGTACCCAAACGTGACCAAAGATCTGGGATGATAACGTTTTTATTTTCACCTTTGCTGTCTTGATTACTCTTGACGGCATTAGTTCCTGGCCCTGCCAAATCCATAAAACTAGGCTAGGAGTTTTGGAGGATTTTGGAAGATTTTTTGCTGGAAGTTAGTTTCGGCTTGTTGAGGAAAGTTAAATTGCAAAGAGTATGCCATTTAGTTGTTAGACTGTTGTAGTTTTTTGAAGATGCAGAAACATTTGAAGCAAAAATGTACAAGCAGTCAGTGCTCAAAGCCAAAAATAAAACAATTTCCCATATAAGTTTTGGAATGCTAATTTGGAGACATTCATTGCTACGTTTAGCACCCAGACTTCCTTTCATTTAATAACTTAATTATTAAAAATTACTTAATTTTGATGTAGAACAAGAATTAACATGGCCGCCCCACATTCCTCATTTTTAATCTAACTGTCATACTCAAACCTCCCAGGTACCATGTCTTTCATTTTGACTTTCCTTAATACATGGTCATCTGTTGCTAGGGACCAGTGTCATTGAGCCTTTAAACATTTCTTCACCAATTCCTCCACATAGCAAGAATTGATTCTGTTCTGATATGTTGACCAGTAACACCTTTTTCTTTTGTCAGGCAGAGGTTTGCTTGGGGAAAATCATGTTCATGGATTTGCTGGACTCAATTTCAAGCTTTCAGCTTTCATGATAAGCAGTTAAAAATGAATCACATTTGTATATACAGCATTATGTTATTTTCAGTGTCAGAAAACCCAAACAGCGAACGGTTATGCCACTTTCAGCAAGGGTCCAATGACAAGGCTTTCACTGAAAATACCAAGTGGACACAGCTTGATCACAGCAGAGTGCTCATTTTCACACGTGTTCTTGTGTCCAAAATTATGGGTGCCCTCGTTCCATCCTTAACATTGCTGCCTTCTTTAACATTGCATGCCCATGGATTCTCCCGCCTCTTGTCTCTTCATCTGCCCCTCCCCTTTCCCCTCCCCAAAACAATCCACCCGTCAATCAGGCCCAGGAGGTCAGCACCCAGAACATGACTAAGAAACAAGTGGAGGATGCGGCGAGGGTAAGACCAGCTTGTCCCTGCATGCCACGTTTGGTCCCTCCCCCGGGCCTCTCCTCTATCCCTGGCATGTCGAGGAGAGGTGTGTCACTGTGTTGTGTCTGCGGGCGTGCCACCGCTCGGATGTCTGGAGTGCCTTGCGTTGCTCGCACTTTCCATTCAAGCATTGTGCAGTCTTGTACTGAGTTGTGTTAAGATTTTGTTGGTATTGCATACTGTTGGGATTGGGATGGTTTGGGATGAGTTCTTGCTTTTGTCGGGTCTTTATTTTGTATATATGTGTCATGCACCTTGTTTGCTGTTGGCTGTGTTCCAAGTGGTGCACATTTTTTTATCCTCATAGTGTTACATAGTGTTGCAATGCTTATTTCTTTGTCACCGTGTTCATTGTTTGGATACACTGCTTAATACTCTTGGTCCTCTGTGAACAATATGAGAGGCGACCATGCATTCAAAGTGGTCAAGCCAGTGTTGGAATACCGTAATAGGTCAATATCAGTCTCCAGACCGGTTATGAGACCTACATGTAAGTCTTGACGTGGACCCAGCCAGTGCTGTTCTTGTGACTAGTCTCATCCCGAAACTTGAGTGCGACGCAAACTCTAGGACCAGTGTGGGTTAGACTCTGTTAATGTCCGAATATGTCCAAACAACCTTGCCAGAAGTAAGCTACATTAGATCAACTCAACAAGACAGGAAGAGAATTTCAGAATTCTTATACATAATACTATAGAGGTTTTGCATGGTAGCCATCTTGTTGGGCACTTCTCATGTTCCACAGGGAAATCTCCTTTGTGCATACTCTGTGGTACAAAAAGATTGCAGCCATGCAAACCCTCTATTAATAGGACACAAGTTCAGTTGTCAGGTTCTGGTAACAGCATGCCTTGTTTCAGAGTCAGTTGCTTGCTTGCTTTTAATCTGCAAATGAGAAGTGAATTAATATCCTGCTGTGCTCTGAGAAATCTTTGCCACTGCTGAGCGAAAACATTTGAGGGTAGGGGTTAACACTTGCTTCCAGCTCGGACAATAAATCCAATTCCTTGATTTTCCATAACATGTTCTTTAAAAAGTTGTGTTGTGCTTTCAGTAAATGATGTGATTTAGTACTAGTGATTTTACCTGTAAGCAAATTTTTGTTCCCATTTTTGTGTGTGTGCAGTGTGAAATAGTAAGAATAGAAAAAATCCCAAAGCCATTGAAGGAGAACATTTCAAAAGAGTCTTTTTTTTGGGGGGGATGAGATTATGGGGTCATGGTAGGATGGGGTCAGCCATAATTTTTGGCAACAACGTTCATAGGTCAAAACTTCCATAGGTCTCTCCATCCAAGTTGCAGCATTTTCACCTGTTTTTGCACTAAACCACAGTGATCCAGTTTGGTCTTGTTCCCGTGTCGGGTTCGGATTACAAGCTTGTCTTGCACGAGTATTTGACCTTTTTTTATGTCCCAAGTGTTCAGTTTGAAATCGGATGAAGAAAGTCTGTGTTTACACGAACTGCAGTGGAAATAATTGGCCACATGCATAAATTTCAACTCATTTCTTAGGACAAAACATACATAGGAATTTGTGGAAATTGTTTCTCGCAAAGAGATTAGTATGCTGAGTTTTCCTCGCTGCCTCAGTCGAAAATGTGACCAAGAATTGGGTGATGAGATGAGAAGCAAATATCAGTTGCCTCCGGCAGTGTTGATTCAAAGTGTTTAATTGGTTATCACCAAATTTGTTTTCTTTTTATTCTAGTCATGAACTTGCACTTCCAACATATCACTTTTGGAAAGAAATTTTACCAGGTGGAGATCTTGCCCTAGGAGGCCAAAGAAGCTAGGAATGCTGCAAAATGTGATTTGAATATAGACAATGGAAAAAAAACCCCAACATTGTACTGACGTTGCCACTCATAGGATTGATTCATCTGTCTAGTCCTCGTTGCACAATCTGACAGTTCATGTTTTTGTGCGAGTTGTGTCTACTTATTCTTGCCAGCCTTTTTCACTGCCATCTTGTCGCCTCGTATCCAGGGAGAGGACTTACGACAGAGCCTCCTGCTACGCTACTACGGCAAGGCTCACCTGCGCATTAAGCATGAGGGGTCGTTGCCGGGTGGCCGAGGTCAGACCAACCTCAGCAGCACGGGGCCGGGCTCTGTGGTGCTGAGCAGGGCCGAAATGACTCTGGCAGAGGTAAGGCCTAACTTCGTGCCTTTGCATTGAGCCTTAAGTAAGACTTAAGCATGGCGGTGGTAGGAGCTAGTGAAGGTTTGCGGTAGCACGATGTGAATATCTCTGTTTAGAAGATGCATGGTTTTTCGAAAGAACCGGTGGGTCGAGACTCGACATTTCGATTATCGTGCACTGACCCTCTTCAGAAAATTGCACCGCGAACCATGCCAGTGTTTGTTAGGGCCTGTAGTTGAGTCCATTGCAGTTCCTATCGCAAGTAACAGGATGAATCATGACAAAGGAATGCTTTTGTCAAAGCAAATTTGAGTAGCTTGTAACCTGGCTTTAAGACTGGATGACTTGTGATGCACTCAGCTACGGCCCCAGCATTTGCTAATGTTGCAGCATGCTTTAGTAATCTAATTGATCTTCAACTTGGCCATGACTTATAAAAAGATACCGAAATTCTTGAGGTGGGACTTTTCTTCGGTTGACGATATTTTATTGAAACAATGGGAAAAAAAGAAAAAGGACTTGAATTTAAACGTAATTTTTCTTCTGAAGAAAAGGTCAACTTTAAAGGCCTTTTTCTCAGCATTATTTGCTATTTCAGTGCAAAAATATTAGGGCGTTGAAGTTCATTAGTTTGCCATGGCAAGTCGAATTACTATCAGACAGCAGAGTGTAGGGATTTCGCTCCATTTTCAGAGCTTGCCAATAATACATACTGGACTCCTTGCACAGTTCTGTCCAATTGTGCAAGGACATGTCACTTTTGTGGCAGTAGGGTAGACCTTGTGTTCCCACCACAAGCAGTTGCTATACATTGTTTCCATTGCCTAACGAAATAATCTTGGTTTAGACATGCTGGATGGTGTAGGAATATCTCCTAAACACCACCAACACTAAAGTGAGTGTAGAAATGAAACCAGTGGTCAGTTTCTGCTGCGCAGTAGTCTTCTAACACTGTTGCTTGTTTGTGTGTAGATTCAGTCTTCTAGTTAGCATAAGATATGCAACGATAAGATCAAACAACCCTAGCTGGCACCGAACCTTGTTGCATTCAGCTGTGACCGCATTGCCAATGCTGTACGCAGCTTATAACACTGTCAGACTGAATCCCTCGTTACCGGTGTAAATGTCTTTCTCCCAAGGTTCAATGCCAACTGGACAAGGAAGGGGCGTCATCTCTGGTGATTGACCTGGTGATCAAGAACAGCAGCAATCGAGTCTTCCTGGAGAGCGTGGAACTGGGCATTGCTCTCCTGGAAGGCGGTAACACCAACATACAGGTAGGACAGTGACGTGTGAGGGAGGAGGGGGCGGGGGAGGGGTTCTCAGCCTGCTAAATGTTTGTCTAAGCCCCTCCCCTCAGTTGGTGAGCACTTTGTGGTTCCAACATTTCTGAGAAAAACACATTTCTAGGAAATGTAGGGTTCTGGAATTGAAGAAAACAAAAGTTCGTCTAGCCTTCCCCCAAGTATTCCTCAGTAAGTTGGTCATGACACAGTTTTTTACCATGCTGAACCCAACAAGGTTATGCAGGATTTCAATGGTCCCTAAGGGGTTAGGGCAGGGCACATTTAACCCCTTCATACCGGGAGGCACCCACAGCGGCAGCTTTGTGTGAGGATTAGTGCACACCACACACACAGTCTATTCACCATGCAGCTGCTGGTTCAATGTGGGCCTGCTGCTGGACACAGCTTTGCATACTGGGTATACCACAGCCCACCAGTCATGGTCAAAAGAATCCCGGCGTGAAGGGGTTAAATTTCATTTGGTAAAGTGTTAATTGGTGCCCAAGCTCTACCAGTAATTTCGACATGTTACAAGTGGTATCTTGACAGGAATTTTTTATTTGTATATTTGTAAACACTGTCTAATCATCGTGGTCTGAGCGCTTGCGAAAAAATGAGTGTATAACGCCTAGAAATGTACATCGCTTTAGGGTAAATCATCCATTATAAAAATTAATATCTTCCTGAGGCAAAAATGACAAAGCTTGTGGTTAACCCCAGCTATTTCCAAGTGGTCCCCAGTCACACTGGTGTGTGTTCCTAATTCAAGAAGCAGTGGTTTGAGTGTAGGGTTTTTCACACCCCGATTTTATGGGCAAGTTTTGGTGACAACGAATGTCGCCATAACATAAGGGGGATTTGAACCATCTAGCCGACTGTTTAGACTCAGGCGCTGGGGCACGGTCACACTACTGGTTCTCAATAGCCAATTTCATTGATCAGGAACGAGGGAACCATTAAATGTGAATTTAATTGTTTGAGATGCCACTGGCCATGAACGTCGCGAGAGTTGCAGACAGTGGCAAGCTCTGAATGATCAAATTTTACAAAATTTTACAAAATAGCCCAAGTGTGACTGTGTTGCACGTGTGCTTTGTTTAAGCAGTTGACCTGATTATAGTTTGCATCTGAAGTTGTCCTGTTAGGCAGTGCCTTTTCTAAATGTGTAAGTGTTCATCATCAGTAGATTGACTGTTAGGCTGTTCTTGTCGTGTGTTGCCGCTCAGAAATCCATCATCAACTGCCTAATGTCTGACAAGCACTCAGAGAAGTTCTTCAAGGTCTTCTTTGACCGCATGCGAGAGGCCCAGGCCGAGATCAAGGCCACAGTGACGGTGAACACTGGGGAAGGGATGGGAAATAAGCCCACAGAGGAGGGAGTGACAAACACCAAAGACCTGGCCAACATCAGCCGCATGAGGAGGGGTAGGTGATGTCTCATCGCTTCAACCACAATTTTTTAGGGGGTGAAAGTAGTTATTGGGGATGTCGGTTTGACTTTTTCACAGTGGTGTTTCCTCGCCTTTCACCTCTGTGGCCTGGGTTCAAATCCATGCCCAGTGTGCATGTGGAATGGGCTTTTTTTTTTTGGTGGTCACTAATGGAAGTCGTGGGTTCAGGCTTGGCAGAGCATTTGTGTTTGTTGACACGTCATTTTTGTCTTGAATTCAGCTGGACGCGTTCCAAATGGCTCCATTAGCGACGAGTTGAAGGACCAGCTGGCCGATGCTGCCTTGCACACCAGCAAAGCCTTTGCGGCTGTCCGCCGGGGACGCGATGACGACCCCTCTGCCCTCATGCCAGGCTTGGAGGTGCTGGGCGGGGCCGAGAAGGCCAAGGAGGAGGAGAACAAGGCCATGAGCATGGAGATCGCCATCATGCAGCCCATCCTGCGCTTCCTGCAGCTGCTTTGCGAGAACCACAACCGGGAGCTGCAGGTGGGTGGGTGGTCACATGCCAACTTCATGGGGATGCTATGCTATGGGCCTCATAGGCCACATGTCAGTCACATGTGTGTCACATGTTAGTCCTATGCATGCTACATGCTGGTCACATGCAAACATGTCACACATTAGTCACATGCATGTCACATGTCAGTCACATGTTAATCAGACGTGCTGTGCACTAGTACAATACTCACATTTAACATACCAGTCACATGCCTCAGGAGCAAGTTCGAGCAGCAGTCATTTTTCAACCACAAGTCGATTTTGCCTGGTACCCAAGAGATATTTAATGCACAGGTTATCATGGAAAAATTGACCAGTAGTCAATAAAATGGTTGGTGCTTGAATTTGCCCATTGAGGCCAAGTCACCCGCACGTCAACTACGTGTCAAATTTTGAACTGCACATTCATCGTTTGTTTTGGCTTTAGTGTGGGTTGGTGAAGCATGCTGAGCAATAGGATAATTGTTATCTCATCCGGGGTACCAATCACCCTGGAAATGTTCACATTCATGTCACAGAACTATGCCGAGAGACTTGTTGACATTCATATATCATGGCTGCAGTTATTCAGACTTACATAACTGACCCAGATGTACATGCATGCACATAACATGGTATGGCAGTTGATGTGATGTATAGTTACATGTGACAGATATTAGACTCCAAAGGCATACATGCACATAGGTTAGCATTCAACAATGGTTGATGAGTATTGGGCATGGTTTGAGGTCACTATCACATGTGAGCCCCATGAAATGCACATACTAATTACATATTCAGATTATGACCTGTCACATGATTGAGTATAGCTGTGTTAGACGCAGGTAGTGCTCATTTGCCCAGTGCAACATAGACCCTGGTCCCAATCATCGTGACTCTTACCATTTGGATATCTCCGTTCTTATGCCACTGGCACTGTGGATAGGGATAACATGTTGGAAATTGTGTTGCATCTGGATTCAAAGCAGACTGCAAAAGAAGATTTTGACACTTGACTTGATGGGGCTTTAATGTGGAATGTTTGGTGGCGACACCATGTGGATGGGTCTAGCATCAGAGAAAGAGTAGTTTGAAATGGCAAAGTCGATCTAATTGAAGATGGTGCCTAAACAAGCAAGGCCAGGTTATCCAATAGGCACTGTGCCTTGGCCTGGGAAAAATGTGAGGGCCCTCCAATATGCAAAAACTCTCACAAAGTTGTAATATGCCACTTGGTAGACACTATTCTGCTGGCGGTAGAAGTCAGGGGAGGGGGCCAGTGTCCTTCCCACTTTTTTGGGGGTGGGGGGAGTGCAGTCACCCTCCAACTTTTGGTTGTGCCTATAATGGGGCAGGGCGTAATGCATCTCCTGCCTGATGATCTCTCAACAGGCCTTTCCACGTTGAAAATAATTTAGTACCATTTGAATCACACGACCTTGCCATTTCTTCCGGGTCCAGTGGATCTAGGCCGATTGGACTTCGGGGCACTGCAAAACACTTCGAATCATAGGATAGGTTAGTGCATCAGGTACTCACAAATATGGGTTGGAAAAGGTTCAGAAGAGAATTACTACGTGCATGGCGTATGGAATGGAACAACGGACGTATCACTGTTACCCTTGTCCATGATTCTTGTCAAAGATGTTGAGATTCCTAGCATTCAGTGTTGTTGTTTTGTGGTTTGTGTATGTGTATGTGGCCACCTGTCGACAAATTTGGGAGAAAAGGGCAAATTGTGGACTATTAAATAAATCTTGGCTGAATGAATCCTTGTCAGATGAAAGTTTTTGCGTGTGTTTAATAGCTCTTCCAGAATTGGTGTTGCCGCCTTCCATATATATAGATGAACAGCTGTTAACAAGGAGAATGTAAACTCCAATATTAAATCACCATTTTCAAAATGGCCGTTTAACCATCTCTCCCATAAAGGAAATCCTGAAATTATTTATCTTCTTGCCTTGAATTTTCTGAAGACAAATTTGTGGATTTTTAAGTAGGTCTGACTCTTGTTTGGTGCAGTTCGCTACTTCAGAAGGTGGGGTGTAACAATATTTCCTCTTTTTGTAACCTAAACAAAAATTAAAAAGCTTTGATGTATATTTACAATGGAAGTTAATTCCTCCTACATAAGGTTAGGCTGCACAGGTTTAAATGTACCCTTGCCTGCTAGTGTCAAAGGAAAGGAGGCAGAGGAAGGTTTCATTCAAGACTCAAGTTCTAGTCTCATGCAGAGTTTGGATGTGGATTCTCCAAAAAAATATGTTCCCAACAGTTTCACTTGTCCTATTTCTGATGACTTGTATTGCATAGAAAGACCCAGCAGTAAGTATGTACCGAGTCCAGTCATTGAACTTGGTGTGGAGGGTGTATCGTCGTGCGTGTGTGTTACCTACTGATCAGCCTTCCCCAACCAAACGTTGTCCTAATTGTGTATACCCCCCCCCACTGCAGAACTGGCTTCGTCAACAGCAACATGTGGTTATCAAGACTTCAGGAAGTTCGGTTTGTGAAAACTAAATACCTTTTTTACCCACCCACCTGTCTGTCGTCTATTTCAGTTGGTTGTAGCTGTAGATGCTTAGTAACCCTCCACCCCCTCAATGTACGTTGCACATGTAGTCATTTGAAGCCCCTCCCCCCCCGACCATCTTTCAGCACATGTAGTTTTTATATGGGGTAGTCTTGTCATTGTCAACACACGTCTTTGCACTTTTTCCAGTTGGACATGGCACTACCTGTTGTAGTTGAAAGCCGGTAAAAGGGCTGCTTCATGTAGTGTTTTCTGTGCAGCGTCGTCAAGTTGATAATGGATGTCCCTACTTGCCTGGTGACTGAGAAATTAATGACAGAGGTAACTCAGTTACGTCTGACTTCATGCAGTGTCAGTACATTACTTGGAGCCACTGCTTCATCAGATAACTCATTGCATGATAACCCAAAGATTTTACTTGAAATACTCTGACATGTAGCTCCCTTTATCATCTGAAATGGTTAAGCTCGCTTCATGATTTATTCATAATGAGATCTGTCAGTTCATAACAGTAAATATGTGAATGCTTGACAAAAACCTGCATTCAGGCATGGGTAAGGGAATGCATTGAAAGCTTGTAGGTTAAACAAGGGTTCGTGCAAGTTGATGAGAGTTCATGGTGCCAGAAGGCTGTACCTCGCTTACTGCTAAGTTTGCAAGAATGGAATAGGTTTCGTACATTTTTCTTTCACCGTGCCGAAAACAAACTGTCGCCGTCGCGATCATTCTGTGCCCCTCGCACCCGCCACCACTCTGGTGAACCTCCTCACCTGTTCCACAGAGCATTCACAAACCCATGGCTTTAGTGGAGAAGAGCACCTGTAGATCAGACATCCTACTGGCTCCCCTGCAGGTCCATTGAGGGCGCTCTGGCGTTAACCTCATATGGGATATGCATCACATGACAATGTGGATGCTACCCTGTTTGTGCTAATCAAGTATTTTCTGTGCCAGGCACACTGTAGTGCTTCTTAGTCCGTTGACGTTGGTTCAATATGGTGCATTTTTGTTTATTATTTTACAAAAGTATGGTAAAGCTGCTTTTGAAGATCTACTTCATTGTGAACCCTGAAAAAGATCAAACTTTTTATATCCACAAGTGGCTGTAGACTAGCCTGTTATTTCTTGCACTGGTGAAATGTCATAGTAGGTTGCTTTATGTGTTGATTTGTGCACAATTATATTAAAGGCCTGTTCACACTTAAGGAAAAAGCAAAAGGAATTTGACATCTGGAAACTTTGCAGCTAAATTCGCATAAGCTGGAGCGCGTGTGTCTTCAGCAACTTTGCAGTGCAATTAGTGTATCTGAGATCACAGATTCGCATTTGTGTACAAACCTGCAAAGTGTAAACCATCCTACTGCATCCAGATCCACTTGTCAATACTTGTGTAATTAATTGGATTGTATTTTCACAAAAGCCCATGTTGCTTGTCCAAAACCCTGGACCTCTTGATACTGCTTTAGAAATCTTTGTGTTTGTTCTTTTCCTTACCCTGTGGAGTCTTTGGCACTAAATTTGTTGAAGCACTCACAGGGCATTCAAAGGGTTGACAGTTTAGAATCAGTTAAAGATTTCACGTCAACAAGCTTGCGTGTCATTTATATGAGGCTTCCATTTTGAGATGAGAATGCATAACTCTTAACACTGTTGAAAATGTTACTCACCGACCGTGAGTTGCACAAACCCTTTCCTTTTGTTGTACTGTGAATGTATTTCTCTGACTTCTTTGTAATTGTGGAGTGGTATATTTGTTGTAACATGTAACCCTCAGTATAGATTGTTACTTGCTTCTTCAGTTAGACCATATCTGTCAGAGTGTAACAGGTTCAACCCCATTACTTTTGACGATGGCCTTTATAATAACCATAACTCACCTACAGTTGGAACTGTGTTTTACTCTATCAGGCATTAAAGTGGATCAATTCCCCGTTTCCAAAGTCGCTTTTGGTCAACTTTTCAACTCACTTTTTTACTACTCTTTTGGGGGTCATTTGGTGAATATTATCAGATGAACTGAGTCTAGAGTCGTGTTTCTAATACTATTTTTTTATTTCTAATATTTCAATGTGACAACATTGACACTTATTTATGCTATATGTGCAATTAGTGATACCTCTGTTTTCCGTCTTATTTCTCTTTTTAATGCAATTTCCATATTTCTCAGTAATGCTCTATATTCTTTATGAAATCAACATTTAAACAAATGCTAAACTACCATTAATATTATTACTCACTATGACTCCTGTATCAACTTCAGATTGAAGTATTGACTGGCTGATGTATACTTTTGGAAAGAAGTCAAATTAGAAAGACACACTCAACAAGTCCAACTCTATTAACTTTACATCAGTGGTCTAAATAAAAGGGAAATGGGACTTACTATTCCAACTTCCATCAGCCAGTATTTATAATATGTTCGTGCACTTTATGACAACAAATCTGGTATTTTCTCTATCTGGGCCCAGTTTCATGGCTGTTCTTGAATGGTAAACAAATTCACTCTGACCATAGCAGAGGATTTTGCTATAGCAGCCGGCGTGTTTCACTGGTGAGCAAAGAAATATTGGTGTTGGGCGTGCACGAATCCCCAGAACTAAATGTGTCTGTGCTTAGCACGGAATTTTAGGAGCTAGCTCTGAAAGAATAGAGTGTTTGTTGTAAGTGTGGAAGTCTTTGTTTGTCACTGCCATGAAATTGGGCTTTGATGTCTCAACTGTAGATGAATCTCATGTCTACGGTAATGCTGTCGCTGGCCATTTGCTGTGGTCCCCACCAGCTTAGTGAGAACTCCTGTGTGGAGCCACTGTTCTGTTAAAGTCCCTCTGTACAAAACCCAACGCAGTGCTTTCCACTATTAAAGGGCGGGCCTTCGGAAGTGTCCTATGAAGAATCAGATGTCACCTGTTGTACCCTTCCATTAAACGCTCCCCGCTAACCCTCCATGTTCTTATCTTCTGTTTCCCCCCCCTCCCACACACAGAGCTACCTAAGACACCAGAACAACAAGACCAACTACAACCTGGTATGCGAGACGCTGCAGTTCCTGGACTGCATCTGTGGCAGCACCACGGGCGGCCTGGGCTTGCTTGGGCTGTACATCAACGAGAACAATGTGGCACTCATTAACCAGACCCTGGAGAGCCTGACTGAGTACTGCCAGGGGCCCTGCCATGAAAACCAGGTAACGCGCACCGCATACTTCTACATGTCATGCAGCTACTGCCAGCAATCCCTCACATACCTGTGAAAAGCAAACTCCATGACTAGCCAACAGCTTCTATAGAAGAGTGTCATCCACAGCTCAGTCATTCAGAAGTAACCCTTACCCCAACCCGTGTTTCCTCAATCTCCCAGAGGGTAGTTTTACCTCGCTGTGGCAGTTTGTCAAGCTGTCCATTTGGATTGTTAACCACATGCTGCCGGGTGCTTTTAAAAATGAAGTGCACGCCTACATGCGATTTTCAAGATTTTCAGTTTTCAGAATGCTTCAAAAATTCATCATTTCATTTAATGGACATTTTCACCCACACAAATGACTGTTTGGTGGCTACTCTCAGCTGACATGTAACCTTCATTGACTCCTGAATATTTCAGCCAGGCCTACCGCCCTGTAAAGAGAGCCCAGAAATGTGAGGTGTTGCGTCCCCAGTCAGTGCGAGTGGTATCTTTTCAAACACGACTGGATTAGCATGCAGCGGTGCTGTGTTGCTCATCAATGGGGCCCTGGAGCATTTTTGTCAGTGGTGCTAATCGGCGGGCGCGCTATGCCGAAAACAGTGGTATACTGTTTAAAAACAGTGATGGATTACCTTAAAAAAATGCAAGCCGAAAAATGATGACAATTCCCAGCAGCAGGTCTTTTGTTTCAAGTACGCTCTTTTGTTACATGGACCAGCCCTTTTGTCCCGTTTTGGGCACCCCCAGCTCTGGGTATAAACTCATGGTGCTTGAAAGGGGGTCCCTGGCAGCAAGTGGTTAACAATAGTTTCTTTATAAGCCTGTGTCTGAATTTAATGGATATGGCTAGAAATCATATTGGTCCCTGTGGAAGCCACAAGTCCATTTCCTGTGGACATTTCTATGGTTGGAAATTTTAATGGAGGTTAACGTTGAAAAAAAGAGGTTGAAAACAGCTTGCGTGCCAGAGAGCAAAAGCTTCGGTCTCTGTGGTGAGGTTTCAGTGGTTTCTTCATGGCACCTTTTGCACTGAATGATTTTCTTGGTACAAAGATTGCATGGGATTAATTTTAGTTTGTCTGCCAGAATGCCTATGGTTAAAAAGCTCTGCTGGCACAATTCAGAGAGTTAAGTAGGGACACACAGAAACTCTAGTTTGTGATGTTTGAACAGTGTACTTACATGTATTATTACCAAAAATGAGTCACTTGGGAGACATTCCCATAGGAACGTGCACAACATTTTTCAAACCGTCCCATAATTCAATATTCCCTAATTCGATCTTAACCAAACTTTGCATGTTTTCCTTTCAGACCCTAATCTATCATCTCTCAAAATGTGGACGATAAAAATGTTCCTCCTTTTGGTGGTTGGAACATTAAGGAGCCATTGAAATGTCTCCCTAATGACCGATGTCTCCCTAAGGTTGAAAGATTATTTGGAAATATTAGTTGACCTACTAACAACATATGCTCTAAAAACTCTACATTTTTACGGAAATCCATGATGTTCCTATTTACAGTCATCTGTAAAGTAAGTTTTAGTTTTTGAACAGTGTTCTACTTACAAAATAATAATTGTGACTGCAGCTGTTTTTCTTTGCAATTTTCTTAAAACACGGTTTTTGGTTTTTTTTTTTTTTCAAGCATTGACAGCTCAATCTGTGACTGCTCTAAGTACTTGGTTTTTTTTAAATGTAATAGATGGCTTTATTGTTGTAGAGTTTAGTTTAGTCTTTTCCCAAAATTGTTGAAAAGAAAAACACACAAGCAGAGGCGACTTGTGTCAGTGGTTATGACAACTCAGTTGTTTTTCACTTAGCCAAAAGGTAATGTTATAGTTTACTAGTCATCTAGATCAAGTCCTGAGTTTGCCTTTTTCAGGCCTGGATCCCCAAGCCATTAGTTTGGTGATGAAGGTTTACCATTCTTTGTTTTTCTGCTCCTATTAAACTGAACTCAGCAGTGACTTCAATCTTTTTTTTGCACATGGAGAAATCATGCATGTCCTAGACTTCGCACTGCCAGTCTTCATGCTGTTGAGATGGCTTCGTCCAAGATTTTGAAATACATGTGCATAAAATTATAATTTTTCTGTCAAGAAACAGCTTGGTTTCTATAAGAAAGAAGAAAAAAGTAAATTGCTGTTATGGCTTCCAAATGTGAAGTCATGCTGCTTGGCTGAGGAGCAAATTATATTTGCTCATTTGCTTTGAAACGGAAAGTGCTGTTTAAAGAATGCGTGGTACGACGCTAGGAGCGTGTGAGTCGCTCTGCGAATGTCTTTGTTCCTGAGGTAGTAGATGACCACGTTCAGCCAGCTGTTGGTCAGAAAAGGTATGAGCCGCATGAGGAAAAATGCCGTTTGGTTGATGCTGTCGGGAGGGAGTACATGGCTAAGGAGCCAGCAACCAAACGGCAGGAATGTGCTCATTGATGCTGTCAAAACAATCAGGAGGAGCGTGTGCAGAGATTTGCTGTTGGATCCCGCCCTCACACCATGCCCATTCCCAGCGATGTGGTTGTCAGCCTGGATGCGTCTCGCATGATGGCGTGAAATGATGAAAAGTCGGATGTAAGTTACCAGGATCACAGTCAGAGTGCAGAGCATTGTGCAGGCACTGACCCCCCAGAAAACGTAAGTGGCCAGCGAAGAAGGGGAAAAGGCACATTGAAAAAACTGGATGTGATAAACATATATCCATCTGTGTACACAGGCATCAGAGATTGAGATTAGCAGGGCTGTGCCCCATGAACACAACACGGCAACCCAGGCTCTCTTCACGGTTACAATAGATGGGTAGCGAAGTGCATACTCCACTGAAATGTAACGATCAACCGTGAGCAGTATCAGTGAGAGGTTGGTACTGTAAAAACATATATTTGTAGCGAACGGTTGAAGTAAACAGAGCACATCCCCTAGCACCCAGGTGCCAGATATGGTAGAAATTGTCATTGGAAGGGCCGAACATATCCCAATGCCCAGATCAGCCGCTGTTAGAGATCGCAGGAAGACCTTGGTAGTCTCCTGGATGCTGTCTACGTGTCTGAGAACGAGTAAACACAGTGGGTTCAGTGTCAGAAGGAGAATGGTGGACAGAAAGAGCAGGATGATTTGGAAAACACCATCACCGTTGACATCGCCTCCAAGGTTGGGTAAAACAGAGGTATTGTATGCTCCAAGGTCAGCATCAGTTGGAGTTGAATTCATGGTGAATCAAGGCTAAGGCTTGAAAATGGTTGTGTGCTGACGCCAGTTGAGTGTAATGCCAGAGTT